ATGAGTGCAAGGAATTAACTCTCATTCTACAACTCTTAGATAATGGGAGTTGTAGTCCAACAACATCTAATAGGCCCCAGATTGAGGAAGGCTGGGAACAGACAATGCTAGGCTAGATTGGAAAATAGTCTGATCTAAGCAGCTTTCTATGTTTCCAATCCAATTTTGCTTTTCCAGGTGTCAAGACCTTTGTTGAACTATATCAAAAATATTTGAATAGAGATCTCATTACCCCTCTGGTTACTTGATTAAAAGCAATTTCATAATAGGTTGTTAGGTTGATTTTCAGAATCAAAGCAGAGTGGAAATAATTGCTTTAACATAATGGATTCAGCACTCCTACCTTGCTCTTCTATCAAGGCATCCAGAGCCACAATCCTGTACAGTACTTAACTATTTTATTTTTTTTAAAAATGAGTTTGCTGCCTTTATTTAGTTCCCTGCCCCCCAATAACACTTGATACCTTTTAGATAATATGCAGTAGATATAGTAATAAGCTCACAGTGTTAGCTGTTCTTTACATCTTTTTAATTTTTTTAAAACTCTGTAACATTTTAATAGCAAAAAATATCTATGGGAAAACAATAGTATTTATTTTGGCTAGCTCCCATTTAACGTGTCCGTTGCCAGGCATTCAGTTCCTTGCTGTGGCAAAGATTGCTTCTGTTCCACGATTATGGTGCCTCAGTCTTAAAGCAGCTAAGAAATTAAAGCCAATAAGTTGCTGGCTTACAGTGCAATCCTATGCATGTATGCTCAGAAGCAAGCCCCTTTGTGTTTAATGGTGCTTACACAAAAGAAAGTAGGTATAGGTTTACAGCCTTACAGCCCTTGCAAAACAGAAAGTTGTAGCAAAGGATCTTCATCTTTGAACTTGCATTCCCCAGTTGGTCACTAGAGCACAAGGATAGTGACCTTTAGGGCATGCTGCAAAGTTTATCTTTTCTCCCAGGCTTTCTCTGGGAAAAATGGAGTTTCTCTCAATCCCAAACTGCACATCTGCGTGCTTTTTAAAAAGCAGATTTGCCACAGTCCCATCTAAGCTCTGGGGTAAATGCTCAATTTTAACAGTGGTGAGCCCCCACCCCCCACCCAATGTTAAATTCCCTGCTCGTGGGCCATGTTTGCTGGGTTGGTGGGAACTGGGGTTCAACAACAAACATCTGGAGGACACAAAGTTTCAGAAGGCTCCCTAATGTGCAGGCAGAGGTCTTTGCCACTACCTACCTGATTATTACAATAATTATGTTAACTGGAGAGGCCAGGGACCGAATGTTAAACCTTCTTTATGCACAAAGCCAAAGTCAGGATCCAACCCTGCCCAGACCTCAACCCCCAATGTCTCCTCAATTGATAAGCAAGGAAGCAGGACCCTCCAGAATGTCTCCATACCACCAATGATCCTGAGGAACCATTGGACCTGGAAATCCTTACTCCAGACTGAAGATCTCCCCACCAGCTGCCTGGGTTTCTGGCGTGCTCTCAGACCTCCCCTGTGACTACAAGAGCAGATGAGATGATGAGCCATGAAAGAACTCTTAAGAGTGGCTACCAAAGGAGCTTGCTAGCTATCTGTAAGGCTATTCAGGAGGCGGAAGCACAAGGAAACTCCTCTGTGGATCAGCACCTGACAGGAAGGAGGTGGAGCCTCCAGGTCTATATATAAGCTCCCAATCTGAGCTGCTTCATTGCTGAAGCAATAGCTTCAAGCTCCAGCCTTCCTGACCTGGGGAAGTGGGCCACTATGTGCTCTTCCACTGAGTCACAATCCCTCCCAACTAAAATAAATAAATACCATAGATTGCATTGTCTTCTTAGAGGACACACATTGCATACAAGATACAACCAGCAGCATAAAAATTTCAGGGATCAGTCCTGATATATTGGACGTGGGCCTTCTACACACAAAGTCGTATCACCAAGCTACAGCCCTTACCCATCTTTAAGCATCACACTGAACACTGCTTTCTTTAGGCGTCATAAAAACCAACCTAACTATCATTTCCATCCAAACATTTACAATCTGACCCCATGCACATTTACTCAAAAGTCAACTCCCACTGACTTTAATAACACTAGGACAGCACAGTCGATATGCATAGTAACTGCGACAGTATGATATTCACTTTGGCATTGAAAGCAGCTGCACTGATGCTGATGTGAATGTTCAGGGGTCTGTTGAGTTGCACTATTATATTTAACAGATGCTAATAGGATTGCTTTGTAGGGATAAGTGTGACATGGTGAGAACAGCTACCATGAATCAGGTTTTCACTGTCAGACATCTGAAATGTACTCGCTCTTCTCACCTTGACTAGAAGGAAACTTGGCTTGCTGTTCCTCACTGCATGAATGTATGTTGAGAGAGTTAGAGTGGAAATAATGCTGCTTAATAGTAAAAAGTAGGAACAGGGGATATCATGGCATGCACACAGTTGTGCCAATGTCTGTTGCTGAAGCCTTAAAGTACAGTACACAGAATTCAGTCCCATTGTTTCCAAGAGGACTTACATACAGTTAATGTCTGCACAGGACTGCTTCATATTTAGTTCAATGCGGCTTACTGAGTAAGCCCCATTAAACACAATGTGACTTAATTCTGAGTAGACATACATGGGATGATTCTGTTAATGACTTTGACACACGCCATTCCTAAGCATTTTTAACTGGCACAACAAGGACCAAACACCACAGAAAATTTTGCTACTGGAGTTTTTCAGCTTTGTTTTATAAAGGAAAGTAAAGGGCATTTAGATGTTGTGCACTAAAATCAGGCTACAAAGAATGATTGAAACATAGTGATCTGGTTCACATTCAGGGAAGAGTTGGTAATGATTTGACTGTAACTACAAGCTTCTTCAACTTCAGTGAAGTTGCAAAATATCCCAAGGGGGCAGCAAAAAAGTATGATTGTTGAACCTACATTTAGGAGTCAAGTAATAATACAACCTACTTGACTCTGATTCAAGAGTACTAACTGTCAAATCAATTTAAGTTTTGTTTTTGTTTTAAACAGGAAAACAGTGATTCCCTCTTATGCACACTTCATGACAAAGAAATGGGCTAAAGTGAGGGACAGCCTTTTAAAAGAATCAGCTGGTTAAATACAGAACACTCAACAACCATACATTGGCTACAAACATTTGATACAAACAGTCCAGACATGCAAAGCTGTATTAACTTAAAGTGTTATCCTTCTGCATTGAAAGATGTAGCCACAAGAATGAAACAGCAATAATCAAAAGGATATAATTTTGTACAACTCGTCCAAACGACATATTATGCTGGTTGTTGCTCTGTCCAATTCAGTCAATACCACAAAACCACAAATGGCAAACCTACACTCGAAAATTCATAAACCAAACTTGCTCTTGCCGTCCTGGAATGACACTGCCTGGCAGCCCAGCTGTATGCAAGTTTACTACAAATAACTCACTGTATTCAGTGGATATTACTCCCAAGTAAGTGTACATGAGATTGAGAGTGTAACTTTCTTGACCACATTCATTTAAAGGCCAATATACTAGTGCTCCCAGGAGAGTTAAAAGACATGTCCAATTGTCCAATCCTATGCAAGTTTACCCAAAAGCAAGCCCCAGCAAGTTCAACTAGGCTTATTCTCAAGTAGGTGTGCAGCCTAAGTTTCCGTCCATCCAGAGCTCTTCAATAGTATTCATCCACTTGATTTAATTTATTCCTGGTCCACACCCACAACACAAAGTTTACAAACCTTCCTGGGGTCACACAAAAAGCCTGCAACAAGCTGTGAACAAAACTCACCTAACACTGGTGTTTTAAGAAGTAAAGAAAATGCAGCATTACGCTAAGATGTTTTGGCTACACCATTTGAAAACAGTGATGTATTGCTGTTATATGGGAGTATGGTCCCAGAAACTTTTTATCAAAATGTAAACACAGCAAGAGCAGCATAGTTCAGATGCTTCACAAATCAAAAGGGAAATCATAGCCAAAAACTCAGAAGGATAATAGTAGCAGTTGCGCAATAGTAAACAACACACAGAACGCCATAAGAACTGCTTTGGGCACGTGCCTGAATGCACAACTGCACAGAATCAAAAAGACAAATTTTAAAAATGAAATGATGTAAAAGATCAACTTCCATCACAGAGACAGACAATTTCCTACTGTGAACTTCGCCCAAAAGCTCCCACTGAGTCGATGCACTTTTGGGAGGGGGCAGAGGAGTTTAAAAGTATTCCTGCTGCTTTCATGAAAGATCACGCTGCAGATTGTGCAAGGGGACTGACTGATCTGATATGTTGCGCGCACACACGCCGGTTTTTACTTTTTATTTCATTTTGTTTGTCGGATCTCTAACTGGATTTGCGATGGCTTTTAGCTAAATCCAATAGTGTGTCGCTGTTGTCTTTTCTTACAGATTTATTTTCATGAAAGATTTCTTGACTCTCAAAAGTGCATGCCTTGTCTCTCTTTTTCAGGTTGCACCGTCTTTCTGTCGTTGTCGTGTGTGTGTTTTTAGGACGCACGATCTTTCTGTTGTTGTTGCTGTTTGTTGTCTCCCTCGGATCTCCAATCCTGCAAGAGTTCCTGCGCCAAGGAAGCGACTCCTCTCGGCGCATAAAAAAGTCGCCTCGCATAAACCAAACCGCTTGCTCCTCTCAGAAACGAACCTATATATGAAACTGCCCCACTCGTGAGGAGTTTCCGATTTTGTTCCCATTAAAAAAAAAAACCCACCCCTGCTACCATGACATGTTTCCTGCGAGGGTGGAAACACAAAACGTGACTTTTCTTCGCGGGAGGATTTCCTCGTCTTATGCTGTTCTCGGGAGGGAGAAGAGCCGGCTTCAGGTCTTCGGGTTCGTGGGCCGAAGCGGACACAATGCGCGGCTCAAAAACGTCTCTATGCCGGGATTGCCCCGCATTTGCGTCCACACGGCGGCGCCGCTTCCCTGCCCCCCCCCCAGCCGTGCCCCACACTCTCCCCACAAACACCCCACACACGCCGGGCTCCTACCTGGCAAATAACCGAAGTTCTCCTCTCGGAGCGCGATGCCCCTTTCCTCCCGGCTCTGCCTCCCCTTCAGTCCGGAGGAAGCGGCGGAGAAGACTCTCCGATGAAGCCTCTCTGAGGAGAGCCGGAGGAACGGACGGGAGTGGCGCGCGGCCCCGCCGCTCAGAGCAGAGAGGGCTTCCCATTGGGCGGAGGGGCGGGGCGGGGCTCGCGGGGGACACGCCCCTCTCGCTCTTTCTCCCCTCGCGCGCCTCGGCGGGTCATTCAGTCCCCTTCGGGGAGCCCCGGAGGGTGGACGGGGTAATGGTACACTCTCAGTGGTGTTTCCTCACGACCTCCAGATTATTAATTTTTTTTGGGGGGGGGATGGGGTCCGCGTGGCGGAAGGAAACGTGGGAAGACCCGGGTCTTTTGGCTTGGGGCTGCGTCTCCGCCGCTACTCCCTCCCTCTCTTCCCGGGTCTCGGCTGTTTAAAAACACGTTGTGCAATATGTATTACAGCTCAGTCTTCCTAAATCCGGACAGTTTCCCTAGCAGTTCCCAGCGGGAACCTAGGTAAAAGTCGCCGCCGGACAAGTCGGATTTATCACTTTCTCCAACTCAAAAACTTCTGAAATTAGTCATTGCAACATTTGCACCTTTTTCCCACCAGGGCATGTCCAGCTGGTGCAGAATTCCGCTGCCAGGTTTGAGTAGAGTTGCCATATTTCAAAACGTAAAAACCAGGATACTGAAGGAGGTGAGGACAGGTGACCCCACCTAGGCCCGAAGTCACCCCCCCCAAAGCAGGCTCAAAGCTTCTCAAAGCTTTTCAAAATCACCCCAAAAGTTGTTTTTAGGAAACCCCCAAAATTGTTGAGATATATTTTTTCTTACCAAAACGCCAAATTGACTTGCCTAAGATCCAGGACAAAGAGCCACATTTCAGAAATTCCCTCCAGGCGTCATTTCTGCCTTTTAAGGAACCCAACAAAATTGTTGAGTTGTTGTTGTTGTTTTTTTTGGGGGGGGGGAGTTGCTGAAATTGTTGAGAATTTAAGGAAACCACAAAAATTGTGGAGCTTTTTTTTTTTTTTAGGGAACCACAAAAATTGTGGAGCTTTGTGGAAACCAACAAATTTCTTCAGCTTTTTTAAAAAAATCTCGTCTCTTTACACTGACTGCCCCATCCCCCTCCCCCCCAAGGAAATATTCCGCCAGCGATCCAACACATTCCTGACCAGTGAATTTTAGACTGGTTCTTGGTGGCTTCCTGCATAGCACAATCCTATGTATGTCTATTCAGGAGCAAACCTCACTTAAGTTCAAGAGAACTTGCTAGAAAGGCGGTTTAGGATTGCAGCTTTAAAGTCAACACTGCATTCCTGCAGGATTCAATGGGATTTTCATCCTAACTGTGTTGCATAACTGCTACTCCCCCAGACAGGAACTGCACGCAACAAAAGATTCAAATCATTAACAGCTGGATCGTACATGACAATGCAGAACCGAGACTGCAAGTATTTAAACATGATTTATTCTTCGCATCCCCACCACCACCACCATGTTAAGATTTCTCCAGTTGCAATAGGGACAGTTAGTTACTCCCAGTACAGAACAAAGTGAATCACCCCCTTGTTTCTGTTACAAATCCCCACTCTGACTTTTCTCTTTATTTTAATTCAGTTTTTTTTAATTTTAAATCTAATACAACAACTTACATTCCTGGAACCTTTCCACATAATAAATCCAATCTTCCACAACCCTTTGTCATGAAACGGTGTCTCTCACCTCTTCCCATCTTGCCACCCTTTCAGAGCCCCAACCTCATGATGCCCAAATCCCTAAAGACACAATTAAATTGACAAATAGATAAAAGGAGTGGAGTGATAGGACAGAGGATGGTGGAAGACAGGATTTCCTGCTCCCCCCGCCCTAAGATTCTCCATCAGGTGCTCCGGGTAATCCTTAGAATGCCTAACCCATTAACTTTTACACCCAAAAGTATTCAATGCGACCCTGATATAATATAAACTTAAATATAATACTGACAGTCAACCTGTACAATAAAGCAGGGATGGGAAACCTCAGGGCAGGTAGCTAAATGCTGCCTTTCCAGTCTCTCTCCCTGGCCCTCAAAACCCATTTGCTGAAAATGCATCCTTGAAATCTGTTAATGTGATTCGCTTGGAAGGTAGGAAGGGGTGTGGAAACTAGCCTATATTACAAAGGCAACATTGACATTAGGTCTTCCACTTTGGCCTCTGGCCCTGCCCACCATTGAGTTGTGGCCCTCGGAAGGCTGTCCCAAAGGGAATGCGGCCCTCATGCTGAATGGCAGAAGCATGCCTGCCCCAACTTGAATGGCAGAAGCATGCCTGCTGTGCTCCTTTGCATTCTGCCATAGAAGCTTGCCACCCAGTGTGTCCCAATTTAACCAGTGTTAAAGTAAAGGTAAAGGGACCACTGACCATTAGGTCCAGTCGTGGATGGCTTTGGGGTTGCGGCGCTCATCTCACTTTATTGGCCGAGGGAGCCGGCGTACAGCTTCCGGGTCATGTGGCCAGCATGACTAAGCCGCTTCTGGCGAACCAGAGCAGCGCACGGAAACGCCGTTTACCTTCCCACTAGAGTGGTACCTATTTATCTACTTGCACTTTGACATGCTTTCGAACTGCTAGGTTGGCAGGAGCTGGGTCCGAGCAATGGGAGCTCACCCCGTCGCGGGGTTTCGAACCGCCAGCCTTGGCAAGTCCTAGGTTCTGTGGTTTAACCCACAGCGCCACTCGCATCCCTAATTTATCCAGTTGTTATTGCATCCCAATTTATCCAGCGTTAAGCAGTTCTCATTATCCCCTCCCCAAGACCAGGAAACTCCTGGCCACTTTCTTAGGCAGAGTTCTGAAGGAACAGATGCCGGGAGCAGGACCATTTGTTCCTTGCACTTTTTTAATCTCACCTTTCCTCCAAAACTGCTCAAGGTGGCATAACCTAGTTTTCTTCCTCCCCGTTTTATCTTCACTACAACCCTGTGAGGTAGGTTAGGCAGAGGCCATGACAAGCCTAAGGTCACCTAGTTGACTGAGTGGGGATTTGAACCCTGAACCTTGGTCTCCCATGTCCTGGTGCAACACTCTAACCACGACACCACACTGGCCCTAGCTCTGGAAGAAGAATATGACATTAAAATCTGCCTAGGAGGAAATTAACTCAGAACAGCAGTTGCTGCCGAAGAGTCTCAAAATCAAGTACGTATAAAAGCCAAATTCCTGGGGAGGCTCCTGTTTCTAATCAATTCTATGCTGACTCATCTTAAGTGAATGACTCACTGCTCCTATTTTGTAGCAATGAAGGAGTAAATGAACGGACGTCGTCTAGCAGTTAGAACTTGAGCTGCCAGCAGAACTCCCAGATTGGGCAGAGAGCCTTTTTTCCGGTGTAATAATGCACAAAGTCTCAGGCATGCCATGCACAGCCCAATCCTGTGGCTATTTATTTGGAAGTAAGGTCCAAACTACATGTTACATTGCAGCTCTGCGTTTGGGCTGCCCAACATAACTTTATTTTTAAATTAAGAGCCTCCCCACCCTTATCAGGTCCATGGTACAGAGGGGGGTCCAACCTTACCCCCCCATGCCTTTGCTCTAATCCAGACCCCCCCCAAATGCTTTTATTAGGCTTGCCATATTCCCAAAAGTGAAAAGTGTTGAGCGTTTTGGGGCTTTGTCCTGGATCTTAGGCAAGTCAATTGAAAAATTGTGGGGGTTGTTTTTTTTAGCGTTTTTGTAAAAAAAAAAAAAAAAGCTCAACAACTTTCTGGGTGTCCTGGTTTTCACTTTTTGAAAAATGGCAACCCTAGTTCTGAATCAGGATCAACTTCATTTATGGCTGATGTTGAGAGAGGCAGTGTGGTAGAATAACCAGGCTGCTTGGATTTGGCTTGGCTTTGTTTTGGAATATCTGTACAGAACGATCATTTCAGGGGAAGAGATTCTGATGTAGCCAAAACAGCAGCACCTGCAAACAAGAGGGAAGGTGTCAGCAGGCTTGGGGAAACACCAAGGTTTGAAGGAGTACAAAATTGTCTTCGGTTTAGGGAGGGAACTAGGCTGGGGAACTCCTCACAAAGCACAGTGAGAACTGAGCGTACACGGAAAAGTGTGTGACTGAGCAGGGGAGTGAAAATGGAATGGTATTGCAGAATCGTAGCGTTGGAAGGGACCACGAGGGTCATCTAGTCCAACCCCCTGCAATACAGGGATCTTTTGCTCAAGGTAGGACTCGAACGCACAACCCTGAGATTAAGAGTCTCAGGCTCTGCTATCAGGAATAAGGCATGACTGGCTGTAACCCTAAGCAGAACTGATGCAGGTTCTACTTACGTATATCCCAATATTTTCCATTCATTTCGTGTCTCCTGTTCTGCGGAATCAGCAGGGGAACATCATCCCAGATTCATACTTCTAAACTCTTAGGTCAATCTGTGGCAAGGAATACCATATAGCAGGCATGTGCTCAGGGTGTGATTTGTGAATAAAACAAGCCCAAGCAAGAATGCTGCCAGAACGAGGGTCGGGCACAAGTTGGGGCCAATCTCTCTCAACTTTCTGTTTTAAACTTGCTGGAACGTTCTGCATGTTGCAGCGTGCCACCGCTCTGCCTTATCACTGCTCTGCTACTTTTAGGATGCATAATCTTTCTGTGTGACCAGAGAGGTGTGGGAGAGGAACGTCCCTTGAACTTAAAGTGAAAAGGGTAAGCTGCAGCTGTATCTGCACATTTAAACGTTAAACATTTTCTAGCCTCTAGGACCGTAATCCGAGAGTGTAAGCCCATTGAAGGAAATTGGATGATACTCAGAAAACTGATTTGAATTTAAATACTAATTCCTCTGTGTGTGTGTGCCTAAATGTAGACGGTGACAATACCATTGCTTTTTATTCCATAGAAGAATCCTGTAAAGGATTTCTGATCAAAGTGCAAAAATGATGATCCAGGCATATTTTCATTCCATGCTTTTGTGAGTTGTAAAACTGCTATAGCTTTTGGTTGGAGCAATTAATAAAGGGCACCTGTGCTTGCCTTAATTCAGTTGGGGTTTGTGGCTGCTCACTTCGGGAATTTTGTGGGATTAGCTTTATTTGTGCATCAGGGCACAGAACCCAGAGGAAGGGAACACAGTTTGCTGGCTTGAAATAGACTTCACTTCCATTACTGTGTCCTAACTGCTACTCACAAAATTTCTGGAAAAGATCCAAGTGCTTGTTCAGAGTAAAGTCACAACTGGATGTTTTTCCATTAATTCCAAACCTGGGGTGCCCCAGGTTACTGGAGGCTTCTTGGAATACACAGTGATGGCTGGTGCCAATTGGGAATGGGCAGCAGGCCAGGAGGCCAACAGCAGGTGGCGCTAGAGCCAATGACAGATAGAGCCAACTAATTTAAGTTTTATCCTCATCCTCCATCTTTCTTTTCTTCAAATGCTTTCTCTGAGGAAACCCACTGTTTGCTTGATGTTTGTTCCATTCAGCCATAAACAGTGGATTTTCCCTGGGGAAAGTAGTGGACGCGTGTCTGGAATTCATGGGATAATAATAATAATAATAATAATAATAATAAATAAATAAATAAATAAATAATCATAAATAATATTATTTATCATTTATAGCCCACCGATCTGGCTGTGTTTCCCTGGAGCTAAGGGACTAAGGAGCAGGAGAAAGGTGACAGGCAGTGCTGCCCCCTAGACTAAGGTAAAGGTAAAGGGACCCCTGACCATTAGGTCCAGTCGTGACCGACTCTGGGGTTGCAGCTCTCATCTCGCTTTATTGGCCAAGGGAGCCGGTGTACAGCTTCCAGGTCATGTGGCCAGCATGACTAAGCCGCTTTTGGCGAACCAGAGCAGCGCACGGAAACGCTGTTTACCTTCCCGCCGGAGCGGTACCTATTTATCTACTTGCACTTTGACGTGCTTTTGAACTGCTAGGTGGGCAGGAGCTGGGACCAAACAACGGGAGCTCACCCCGTTGTGGGGATTCGAACTGCTGACCTTCTGATCAGCAAGTCCTAGGCTCTGTGGTTTAACCCACAGCGCCACCCGGGTCCCTTGCCACCTAGACTAGTTGCAAGTAAAAAAAATCAGGCAGGTGGGGGCAGGCTGAGATGGATGTTGATGGGGCAATGCCCCATTTGTCTTAATGGTCCAGGCTTCACTGGGAATATGTGATATTTGTGTTTATTTCCAAATATATAGGTTGAGCCTAGGTGGAAACACAGCTTACAGACTCTAACAGACAGCTAAAGTCCACTGTTCTGGCATCAGATCTCCAGGGAGACACAGTGGGCACCCGAAGATCTCTACTCAACTCAGTTTGTTGCTGTTGATGTGTCTCATTCAAACAGCAATCTTCTTAGTTTCCTCTCTCACACAGTTACCTTCCTGCACCCAACTCACACCTCCTACTAGAGGGTATTGGAAAGTGGATGAGTCACTTCATCGAACTATCACTTAATCTTCTTGGACCTTCTTAGGTTTTCCATGAAAACCTGCCTCCTAAATATCAGGGCCATCAACACGTTTTTGGGTCAGATTTAAGGTCCTGCAAACACCATACATTTAATGTACTTTTATAGCACATGACTCCCCCCCCCCAAAGAATCCTGGGACCTGTAGTTTATCCTTCCTAGCACCTTTAACAACCTACAGTTCCTGGAATCCTTTGGGAGGGGAGTCATGTTTGGGAAATCAAAACTAGCCTTAATGTGTGTGCCAAAGTGATCAGGTCTGAGATGGCCACAGAATCTTTATTTGCAAGGGGATGGAAAACAACCATTAAAGTTCCAAAGCTCTATTTCCTAACCAAACTTTTACACAGCTAGGGCATCCTCTCTCTTATGGAGAGCTTATGGCATGGTTTGCAGGAACAGGGTAGTAAGCAATTTTTGGTGATTCACCATCCCACTTAAACCTGTTCTAGGGGATTGGGAGGGTGGTTGCAGGGGAAATCACAGAAATTGCTTCCTTTAATGGTCCACTAACAGAAGCCATACAACTAGCTGAGCTGTACTATTGGACACAACCCATTGGGACTTACTTCTATAGTCTTAAAATCAGCAGTTTTAGTTATCTGGTGAATTTGATTTTAGGCGTGTCTCTGCCAGAAATTCTTATGCTGCAATTGTTTTTATGATATAAAAACTATGTTATTGGGTAGCCAATATAAACATAAGTATAAATATAAATATAAATACTGTATAGGCAAGTGAATAAATATGCCAATATATATATATATACACGTGTTGGAATGGTGGTTTTGCAAATGATTAAGGAGTTAAAAAGCAGGTAGAATCATAGAATCATAGAATCATAGAATCATAGAGTTGGAAGAGACCACAAGGGCCATCGAGTCCAACCCCCTGCCAAGCACCTGCCAAGGTGGTTAGTCAATTACAGTGGTACCCTCAGGTTAAGTATTTAATTCGTTCTGGAGGTCCGTTCTTAACCTGAAACTGTTCTTAACCAGAAGCACCACTTTAGCTAATGGGGCCTCCTGCTGCTGTTGCACAGCTGCTGCATGATTTCTGTTCTCATCCTGAAGCAAAGTTCTTAACCTGAAGCACTATTTCTGGGTTAGCGGAGTCTGTAACCTGAAGCGTATGGAACCTGAAGCGTATGTAACCCGAGGTACCACTGTACAAATTATCTAATTGCTTGACAGACTCAGTTGTCATAAGACAGTTGCTACATATTGTTTTTATAATACTGTATAAACAGCTGCTCAAGTAAAGGTACAGTTTGGTACTATTCTCAATTCTTATTTTCAGTTGAAGCTCAATTCTAGGAATGAAATAGTTCTTTCTTAGCATGAATGAGTCTCTCCCATGACCTCCTCACCTTTTAAAAAAATGCTTTTGCCGTCTGAAATTAGTAAGGCTTTGCAATAGATATAGATATGGTATTTCGCATAGGATCAGTTCTGATTTATGGCATTTGCACGGGAGAGTGACATCACTGAGAGGAGAAATATGCACTCGGAAGAGGCTCCCCAAGAAACAAATTAAATGCTCATTGGGAAAGCTGAGCACATTTTGAAACTGGTGCATTTCTCAAGTTCACCTTTAACTAATGAACATGTTCTCACACAAAGCTGTCTGTCATAAGTGAGATTAACTGAGAATACTTTAGAATGCCACTATTTCGCTGGAATTCATAGCATGACAGCGGAACAATTCCTTCCTTTTATATAATGCCTTTCATTAAATGTCAAAGAGCCGATGTTGGAAGAAATTGGGACAGCAGTGGGAGGGGGGGCATGGGCAATAAGAAGAGAGCCGGAGAGAAGGATTTACATTCTCATTGCTACTGATATTAAAAGGTGCAAATGAGTTCCACAAATGAGCAACACCAGCCTGGGAAAGAAAAACTCCCTGAGGAATTCATCCTGAAAGAAAAAAGCAATGAAATAAAGGAAAGGGCTTTGCATAATTTTGTTCTGTATGAACTCGGAATCTGACAAGTTGCTGACCACATGCAAATGACTTCGGCTCTGATGTCGTCCTTTGAGTGCACACAGGAATCACATCGGAAAAGGTGGCACGAGCAATTGCTTTGCCAAAATCTGAAACAAATCAGCACTCTAGCCTATTTATTATCAGGGATATAAAGTCATCCGTTTCATCAGTAGAGCTAAAAGGTAAAGGACCCCTGGATGGTTAAGTCCAGTCAAAGGCGACTATGGGGTTGTGGCGCTCATCTCGTTTTCAGGTCAAGGGAGCCGGCGTTTGTCCACAGACAGCTTTCCAGGTCATGTGGCCAGCATGACTAAACCGTTTCTGGCACAACGGGACACCGTGACGGAAACCAGAGCGCACAGAAATGCCGCCTACCTTCCCACCGCAGTGGTATCTATTTATCTACTCGCGCTGGTGTGCTTTTGAATTGCTTGGTTGGCAGAAGCTGGGACAGAGCAACAGGAGCTCATCCTGTCACGCGGATTCGAACCGCCAACCTTCCGATCGGCAAGCCCAAGAGGCTCAGTGGTTTAGACCACAGCGCCACTCGCCTCTCTGAGTAGTATGCTATGTGGAAGAAGGCAGATTTTTGTGACATATCTCATGGTAAACTAGAATGTCTGTGTGCATCTAGTCCTGACCTTTAGATGTTTCAGCATAAGCAGCAAAGGGACAAAATAATAACCTTTCCAGCTCTCTGTTGTGTTGTGGACAAACGCTGGCTCCATCAGCCTGAAAGCAAGATGAGAGCCGCAAATCCATAGTTGCCTTTGACTGGACTTAACTGTCCAGGGGTCCTTTACCTTTTTTTTTTTTAACTACTCAAGAGACAGCCACAGAGGCACACTTTGCCACCTTTCCACGGATGAAGAAGCCGAAAACAAAGCCAGCAGCCCAACCTTTGCCACCCTGGTACCCTCTAAATGTTTTGGACTACAAAGCCCATCATCCCTGACTATTAAACAGGTTGTCTGGGGATGATGGGAGTTGTAGTTCAAAACCCTTGGGGGGGGGGGGAGAGGAACAGGACCAGATTGACAAAGACTGCACTGGCTCAACAGAGTATTTATAATACAGAAATGCTCAATTTTAGTATATATTTTTTCTTGAGGTAGTTTACAACAGAAATCAAACAAAAAACCCAATAAAAATCAAACTGGAATATATTGCTGCATACATTAATATACCTAAATGCATAATATGTGCCACTTTATTTAAAGTAGTCCCACTCATGTCAACTGTGAAAGTATATATCCCGGCATGAAGACATTTTGTTCAGCTATTTTTAACGTGGTTTGTTTCCAAGTGTGAAGTGCTCGCTGACATTTCTGTGAAGGGTGCGAAATAAATGTTAAGTGCTTATTAAAGTATTTCAGTGGGTCTACCGTAGAGTAAACTATTTGAGACCTTTGCAACAACTGAAAGGAATGAGGATGAAAGATAACACACAGGATGATAACGGAGGACAAAAATTAGATTAAAACAAAAAGCAAGTTGACCAGGTTCCTACTTTACAGAGTACAGTCCCTATTTGAAGGACTGGCCAAGGATGATTCTCTGATTGAATGCATCATCTAGGTTAGGCATGGGGAACAATTGGCCCTCCAGGTGTTGTTGAACTACATAACCTCCATCAGCCCCAGCAAGCAGGGCCAATGGCCAGGGATGATGGGAGTTGTAGTACAGCAAAGATTCCTCACCCCACACAAGCTCCAGCTGGAGGGCAGTCTAAAGACCAAAATTTAAAATAAAATAAAATAAGAAAGTAAGAGTCTTTACTTTCCATGGATGAAGAAGCCGAAAACGAAGCAGGCAGCTCCTGAAAAGCAGACTGTGCAAGCAGATAAGTTTACCCAAGCAGTACAGTGGTACCTTGGGTTAAGTACTTAATTCATTCCGGAGGTCCGTTCTTAACTGAAACTGTTCTTAACCTGAAGCACCACTTTAGCTAATGGGGCCTCCTGCTGCTGCTGCACCACTGGAGCATGATTTCTGTTCTCATCCTGAAGCAAAGTTCTTAACCTGAGGTACTATTTCTGGGTTAGCGGAGTCTGTAACCTGAAGCATATGTAACCTGAAGCGTATGTAACCCAAGGTACCACTGTATTCCCAACCATGGTAAGATATTTCTGTTTTATTTCTATATTTCTGTTTTAAATCAGAGGTGGGGAAGCGGTGGCCCTCTAGTGTATTATTGTTTGTTGTTGTTGATTTCTATTGATTTATTAGGTATTTTTGTTGTCGTATAGTATATTTTGTTTTTTAACATTTGATGCTTTGTTGTGTTTTTATAATTGTTGTAAGCCACCCAGAGTGGCTGGGGAAACCCAGCAAGATGGGTGGGATTTAAATCAAAAAAATCATCATCATCATCATTATTAGTTGTTGTCATTGTTGGACTACAACTCCCACATGCCCGACCCTTTGCTGATGGAGTCTGTCAATGGTGTTTTTCCACAGACACAATTTCCCCTCACTCCTTTCGGCTTCTAGGCAGGTAACCAAGAGGCAGGATGATCTGACAGGCCTAGGAGCCTCCTTTGTTGAATCCTACTGCAGTAGTACCTCAGGTTACATACGCTTCAGGTTACAGACTCCGCTAACCCAGAAATAGTACCTCGGGTTAAGAACTTTGCCTCAGGATGAGAACAGAAATCGTGCTATGGTGGCACAGCAGCAGCAGGAGGCCCCATTAGTTAAAGTGGTGCTTCAGGTTAAGAAGAGTTTCAGGTTAAGAATGGACCTCCGGAACGAATTAAGTACTTAACCTGAGGTACCACTGTATGTATCAATTAGGAACACACAATACGAGAGAATGGGCCAGCTACCCTAAGGTGGTGTTGCGTAGTTTGCCAGTGCCCAGGGAGGCCACACGCACCATGGAGGGGGGTGGAGGGTGAATAGAGCCTTACATGCCAGCCCAGCCCTTGCAGTCAATGCTGCCAGAATGCACCCCCCAAACAAAGCCAAGTGTGGCCGCGCTGACACATCCCTTGGATCACCGCAACCTCGCATAGCAGCTCAGGGCTGGCAGGATGGCATGAGAAGGAAGCTTTGTGAGGCTGGGATCAAAGGGCGCATGGCTGTGGCATCCCTTTTCATGCTGCCCTGCCAGCCCTGCTTTGCGAGGCTGGGATATGATCTGAATTACAGTATTCGCCCGGCAAAACATTAAGATCGGATCCCAGCCTCACAAAGTGGCACAGGGCTGGCAAGGGTGGTGTAAGGAGCCACATGTGCAGTGCCCCCTAAAACAAATGCGCACGGGGCCCCACCGCCATGCTATGCCCCCCCCCAAGGATGCTGTCTTGTAGCCAGTTTTGAGGAAAGATTCAGCTGCCACTTCAGTTGGTTTCTGTCGTGCGGAGGGAGAGAACTATCTGTGTCCAGGGCAGCTGTTTACCAGCTCCATCTGCTACATAGGCTGAGACCCTATCTGCCTGCGGACTGCCTCGCCAGAGTGGTGCATGCTCTGGTTATCTCCCGCTTGGACTACTGCAATGCGCTCTACGTGGGGCTACCTTTGAAGGTGACCCGGAAACTACAACTAATCCAGAATGCGGCAGCTAGACTGGTGACTGGGGGCGGCCGCCGAGACCATATAACACTGGTCTTGAAAGACCTACATTGGCTCCCAGTACGTTTCTGAGCAC